CCAGCCACCTGCAACCCCCCAGGCAGGTGGAGCTGCTGCTGGGGTCAGTGGGAGCTCCAGGCAAGGCAAGTGCTTTCGGGTGCATGTTAATACCTGGGCCAGCTGAGGAGGGACGCTGGACTTGAGGGACCCAGTGAGCAATGCTGTCCAAGTGTGGCCCTTGTCAGCACTGCCAGGAGCAGGTTAGCAATGCAGACTCCTCCCAGGAGCCTGGAGCCAGAACCTGGGGTCCACATGCTTGCTGAGGTTGGAGAACCCGGGATCTGACACCCAGCCTGCCCCTCAGGCTTCTGTTCGGACGCCGTTGGGAATCCAAGGCCACTGGGATTGGGGCAGGAGCTGTGGCCGAGAGGCCACTCTTGGTAGTGTGCTGGCCAACTGACACGCACCCTGAGGTCCTTTCCATCTGGATTTCTAAGGTAGGGTGAACTAAGGAACGTCCTAACACTGCCACAAATACAGCAGCAGCAGCCAACAGCCCTGTCCCAGGCCTGACCGCCAGGCACTGGACACTCTCCAGTCCTATGAGGCCCAGGTTCTCAGCTTGATCTGACACCTGTTGGCTGGGGGGTGGCGGGCGGCAGCAGAACCTTCTTCAGGCTCTGGATTCTGTAATTTTCTAGGCAGAGCTTCGGATGGATGAATCACAAAATCAATATGCTTCGTGAAAGAAGCCAGAACCAAGGGGGCTGCGCTTGCGACTCTTCGCCGGGAAGCTCGCCACAGGCACGCATCGGAGCAGGCGCGGCGGCTCTGGCTGGAGGGCGCCTGGGAACCTCATGGACTGGTGTGAATGTTCCAGAGAGGCTGGGCTGCTGCACACAGTTGTCAACTCAAACTGTTTCTTTAAAAATGAATTTTACTGCGTGAAAAACAATCCCTCAATTTAAAACATCTACTCCTGGGGAGATAAGGCGTTGGGACTGAATGGCTTTCACAAGTGCTCCCTCTAAAGTCCCAAGCTTCCTGATCCTAATGGGGGACAACTGGCAGAGCTCTTTGGTGACTGGTGCCAGGAGGAGGCACAGTTCAGCCTGCGTTGCCTCGAGTCTCCACTGCCACCTCCCCGCAAGTGGCAGCAGTGCCCAGTTCCAATTCAGAAGGCACCAGGACCCCAAGTGGGCAGGACCCAGGCCAAGTCTGGTCTGAGAGCTCTCCGAGCAGGCGGGGCAGGTGGGAGGCAGCTGCTACTCTGATGAACAAAATCACAAAGAAAAGTGATGCGAGGGAGGTGGAGAGAGGGCATCCAGGAGCCAGGCTCCCTCAGGTACAAACACCCACTTCCGGCATAGGATCTTTATTGGACATGGTTGCATCACAGCGAGAGATGTCCTCCACAATCGCCTGACCTCATCCCACCCCAGCCCATCCCTGCAACAAGCGCACATGGACGCTCTTCATTGACATTAGCGCTAGAAAAGTCCAGAAAACTCCTCCATCCACTGATCCAGAAAGCACATAGTGTTTACAGACCCGCAAGCCCTTCATCAAATGAAACTTGGTTTTGGATTAACAGTTTGTGTTAGCACGTTGGCCACTGTGCCCAGCTTCTTTTGAGGTCATGTGACCAGGCGAACGCCATGCACGCCCTGCAGAAGCTCCTTAAGGGGCCGAGACCCTCTGTGGACAGGATTTCCGACCTGTGAGAGCAGCAGCGCCCTCGCTGCTCAGCAGGCCCACCCCGCAGCCTCAACCAGGCCCCAAGGTACCTCCCCGTCTCTCCCTCCTTTCCTGGATCATCCAGACTCTGTCCTGTCAGGACCCCACCTGGTCACCCATGCAATGCAATCACGTCCTTGCTCCCTCAGGGGGTGTACCCGGATCATCCAGACTCTGTCCTGTCAGGACCCCACCTGGTCACCCATGCAATGCAATCACGTCCTTGCTCCCTCAGGGGGTGTACCCGTCCTTCCCTGGGCAGTGAGCCATCTAAAGGTAGGATCTACTTCTCAAGCACACCCCTAGAGGGGGGCACACATGCATCACCAGGCCACAGAAGTGGCCCCAGGGGAATGGAGCCAGGGCAGTTTGCCAACCAATAACCACGTTCCAGGTGGTGACAAGTGTCAGCATCGACTCAGGAGGCTGTCTTCAGGACTCCCTGCCAGAACACCCCAGGGAAAACCAGAGTACAGAACAGTTAGCATGTTCTAAACAAATGTCTTGGTAAATTGAGAGCTATAAGTCAAAGTCCTGAATCCTAAAAGGACAAGAAAAGCAGCTGAGCCTGGTGTCACACTGACCTCTATGAGACGGGGACGGGGGCAAGCCGGGCGAGGTGTGGGGCTCAGGAGCAGGGCCAGAGCAGCCGCTGGGCAGCTGGCCGTGTGACTCACTGGCGGCTCTCCTGGGTGGATGGAGCTGGGCCTGAGACCTCACCAGGTTCCCCAAGGCTCTAAAAGCCTCCTTTGAACAAAGAGCTTCAGGGTGGGGGAGATGGCCAGACAGCCATTTGCAACGGTCATCTTTTGACTGGGGACTGAACCCAGGGGGGCTTTCTTACTGAACCACATTCCCAGCCCTTCTTTTTTTTTTTTTAATTTGAGGCAGGTTCTCACTGAATTGCTGAAGGCCTAAGTTGCCGAGGCTGCCTCCTGCCTCAGCCTCCCGAGCTGCTGGGATTACAGGCGTGGCCACCACACCCAGCTCAACAGTCATCTTCCACACTGCCTGCAGGGATGGGCTCGTGGGGAAGACAGTCACACATGGTCCAGGCTATGACGTACAGTGTAACCTTCTCCATAAAATTCTCCTTAGCTTGGGAAACACACTCTGCACAGAGCAGCTTGGAGAAAATGCTGCAATGCACCAAGGCCCTTGCAGTCCTCCCAGCGCGCCCGCCCGCGGGGAGCCAGCAGGCACAGCAGAGGGGCGAGGAGGAGGGAGGCTGCGGAGCAGAGATCCTGATGAGATCATGGTGCGGGAGCGGTGATCTCGCCACAGCAGTCTGGGTGTGTGTGTGTGTGTGGGGGGCACAGAGGCCGCGTTGCCTTGGCTGGCTGGACATGTGGTAGGGAGAAAGAATCTAGGTGGTTTTACTCTAAAGTGGGTTCCTGGAGAAAAAAGGACAAGGAAAAACCACCGACTCAGGCCATGGGTCTGATAAAGCATCTTTCAGACTGGAGCAAACTGCTCATTACAGGAGAGTGAGCTGCCAGTTTGCCAGAGTCATGCTCAATATCACCAAATGCAGTGCCACTCAAATTTTAAAGCACCGAGGGATCAAGAAATAGGATGATCGGATCCTTGGCCAGGATTAAGAGATCAATTTATTTCTTGTTGTCCAAGAAATAAATTTCTAGCAAAATACACACTTTATTAGATTTCACAGCCAGCAGCACTTCTAGCCCACAGCAGATTCTCGGAGGAATCACGGACATTTTGCGTAGGCAGAAGCAGGGCGGGGGAGCGTCAGGCAGAGCTATAAATACCTACGGCTCTGCCTCAGGCACCCCATCTTCTCTGCCCAGTGCCTGAATACTGCAAGGGCTTCCTGTGCAAACACTACGGCGAGCCTGGTGGGCCAGGAAGGTCAGGCTGCAGGAGGTGGCTTGTCAGCGGGGGCAACTCCCTAGCTTTGGATCCTAATCAGTCCTCTTTGTTCAAGGGCAGAGATGGACCCTGGGGCCTGCTATTAAGTGGTGGAGAAAGAGACAGTGAATTACAGACCGAGATGGAGAGCTCGATGGTGTTTCTGGTCTGGGCCGAGCCTGCTTTGCCAGTCCTGGGCTGGGGGTTGGTTCTTCATCGCCAGCCTGACTTCAAGCCTTCGGTGGCTATCCAGAACACAGGCAGGAAACCACCCATGGCCACCTGCACCTGGGACCCACCTGGTGTCATGTGCACAGGTTTGCTCCAGGAGGGTCAGCCTGCCAGACTGCAGCTGCTCAGTCTGACCCCAAGACTCGGGTCCACAAGCCTTCCCTTTGCCACCCTACTTGCTTCCTGGCCTTAAAAAGCCAGAGGACGACGACCCTCCTAGCGGAGAGGTCTTGCCACACCTTCTGTTCCTGCCAAGGCGGCTGGGCCTCGTCCACATCTGCTGCTGGGGAATCGGCAGATGTGTCCCCTGAGGGAGGTGCAGATGGAGTTTCAGCGGTCACAGAAGGAGACACATGCCTGCAGCGCTGGTATCATGTTTATGCACAGGAAAACCAAGTGTTGAACTACTCCCTTCCTCCCTCCAACTCCACTCCCGGCCCACAGCCCCAATTAACTTGGGGAGAAAAAGGAAAAAGGAAAGGTCCCCAAGTAAATCCTCAGGGCCTGTTTTTCCTTCTCTTGAGGACAGGAAGATGCTCACACTCCCCTACACACACACCTGCCTGAGGGAGTAGTGCTACCACTGGGCAGAGGCCTGTGCCTCCTCGGCAACAGCCAGCGGGTGGGAGGGTGTGGACGGCTAAGGAAAGTGCGCAGGAAGGACGCTGCTTCCCGGAGCCCAAGTGGCAGGGACAGAGAGAATCACCATTTTCTGAGAACTTTTCAGGCTCCCAAAACTAACACAGTGAGGGAGCCATAGGCCCCATGGTTCCTGACTGGCCCTTCCGAGCCAGGAAGACCTGTCCCTTGCAGGCAGCTCTCCCACAAGCCGCGGCAGGGTCTGGCTGGAGCTTCTGGAAGTGACCCTACCCAGCTAGGCCACCAAGCATCACAAAGCTTTCCTGATGGGGGGTGTTTGGTCACTGTGAAGCCCTCCATCACAAGGGACCACCTGAGTGTGTCCCACCATTTGAAGGACTCCTCTCCAGTCACTCTACTCCTCCCAAGAGCCACCAGGGCTCCTCCCACACCCTGCATCTTGGAGGGACTCCCTGGGCAGGGAGGGACCCTGCCACCTGCGGCTGGTCAGCTGATGCGCTGCCTCCACCAAGGCTCCTGGAGCCCAGGGTGACGTGCTGAACCACCTGGAAGCCCCGCGTGCCATGAGGCACTCGCTGAAATGCCCAATTTCTGCCCCAGCTGTTCTTAAGGAAAATTTGTCCCTGTTTTCTTCTAAATTCTGATCATATTTTAAAAATAAAAAAAAAAGTAAAGCCTCAAGAGGGGAAGAAGACAGGAGGGCTGTTGCTCTGCTCAGGAGGGGCCCCAGGGAGACCCGGGGACGCTTCTGCGCTTAAAGACAGTTCCATCCCGCCCTCAGGAAGCCCACGTCCCTCCAGTGGGGTTGTCCTGGGGCTGGGACCCTGACAGTGACAGGATGGCACATAGGCAACAGGCCTCCTGTGCCCTCAGTGCCGGTCACTGCCAGGGTCTGGAGCAGAGGTCAGGGTGCCACTCGGGCTGGGACCTGGGCAGCTGCTGGGCACCAGTGGAGCTTGGCCTCACCTCCTAGGATGGTTTCGATGCATTTTCACCTCCCAAAGATGTAAGGACACCCTTCCGGTCCCTTTTGGACATCCTTGGAGACCTGTGGCCATTCCCCAGAGCAGCATGGAGTGCTGTGATGGCAGCAGACAGTCGCCGAGGCCGGCCACTGCAGCGCTCAGGGCCACCACTGTGTGGGCCTGTGGGCCCATTAGGAATGTTTCAGTGACAGGCAGGTTCCTCTCCTCCTCCTCACTCCGACCTCCCTCCCCCCTGAGGACAGTCCCAGGTGCCTGGCACCAGGTACAGATCCAGTTTCCCTCAAAGAGTACAAAGCAGGTGTCCATGGCACTTCACCCTGCCCCAAGCTCTGCRGTGTCGCTGTCGGAGGCCGGCGGTGGACTGTCGGAACTGCTCTTGCTCACCAAGAGGACTACGGGGTAAGCTGCAGTGTTCTCTGACAGTGCCATCCTCCCAGTCAGCGCTCACGCGGTGCCTTCCCAGTCACCCGGGGGCTCTGCAGCGCCGTTGGTCACCTTCTTGACTTTCTTCATGTTTTCCATCACCCCTGATGTCGTCACTCTGAGAAAGAGAGAGAACAGAAACAATGAGGGCCCTCTTGCAGGTGAAGAACCCACCACCTAGCACATGGCTGGGGCTCAGGACTGGACAGAACTGGAGGCCTCCTGCCCTCTCTGTGAACTGTACGGTCACTTGAGCTGAAGTGCAGCAAATAATTCTCACTTTTCAGAACAGTCATGAGAAAAAAATTCTCCTTATCAATAAATATCAGCTGTCATTATCACAACCATCATCGCTGCTCTTCATCGCTGCAGCCTCCACAGCTTTTACCGTGCACAGATGACAATCACGGTTAGGAGACCAATATCTGTCATAATTAACACTTGGAAAGGGAAGCTCGCCAGCTGTGCGGATTGTGATGACCAGCCATGCTGGGTCACTTCTCAGTGACGGACAGAATCACAGATTAGGAGGAAACTTCTGGGCTCAAAGGCTCTTTGCCCATTGGAGACGGTGAAGCTCTCTCGGCCGACCCAGGCCCCGTCTCAGCAGGCTAAGGTCAGCCGTGCTCAGCACATGGCCTGCTTCACCCTGCGTGCACCCCTGGGGCACCTCTTCTGCCTGCTGGTGCCTGGCACTAAGGGGGTGCCCCGGAGCTGCTCACTGAACAAGAATTAAACACAGAAGCAAAGAGCCGAGCCAGCCAGCCCCTCCTATCAGTAAGGACGGCACCACCTCTGGAGAATGGGCGCCTGTGAGGAGACGTCGCCTGCCTCCTGGGTGGCAAGGGCCCAGGTCGAGTGCTCCATATCCACCAAAGAGCTGAGTGGCGCTACAAGCAGGGGACACCAAGAGAGACGCCAAGTGCCAAAAACCACCTGGCCCAGCCCTGCCCCTTTCCTGATCAGTAAAATCAACTCCATCAACTTGACAGACCCTCCAAGGACCAACCTACCCCCTACCAACTACCTAATCCCAATATTATTATTAATCCTAATATTATTATTATTAATATTATAGTAATATATAATATTAATAGTGACACGGTGGCCCTATATGGGACACATCCAGAGTTACCCTTCTGGACCCTTTCATGGATATGGAAACCCCCCCACACTTTGTGCTGCTTCTGAGGCCAGGTCTTGGGGCCCTGCGGTCCTCCCTGAGTAGGGACTTTCCACCAACAAGGGTCCTTCGGGCGCAGGTTATCTGTACTGTGACAAAGCTGGCACCAGACATGCTGCTGGAATGTGGATGTCAGGGGAACTGAGGGACTCCTGCAGAGGTGACAGACTAGGGACAAACACCCCAAGACAAAGGAGGGGCACCCGGCAGCACTTCCCACAGCTGCTCCCRGCCTGGCCTTGGGAAGGGATGGTGCTCTTGGCGGGGAAGCTGCAGAGCCCTGTCCCACCCTGGGCTATAGAGCCAGAGCCTCGGCACGGCACGAGGACCAGAGCCTTCCCAGCTCCACACAGCCCCCCCCCCSCCGGTTCCCCCACTGGCTCAGACCACAGYGGGAGACAGAAGTCTTCAGACACCCCAGTGAGGTCACACTGTCCCCGGGGGAATGGTGCCTCCCTAGTAAAGAATAAGGCACAGCTCACATGGACACCCGAGGCCAAGCACATTCCCGTGACCCGGGTGCGGTCTTGACGGGAGGCTTCCATCCCCTGAGAACCTTCCTCTGTAGATGGGCGCCCACTGGAAACAACTTCAAGGCCCAGTGCAAGGTCACAGAAACAGAACTGGGACTGCGGGTCTGCAGGAYCCACAGCCAGGAGGGGCGGCCTTCGGGCACGTGTGCAGAACGGGTGCCAGGACTGAGGAGGGACAGTCTAGGAGCCTCGCTGCCCGGTTCTGGCGAGAAGCCCCTCTGCTGCGGGAGTGGAAGCTGGAGGGCTGGACTGAGGCGGGGAGGAGCTGGCCGGCAAGAGGCTGGGGGGTGGCCCTCCACAAAGAACTGTCCCACCCTGGAGAAGATGGGGAGGGGTGTGGGGGGTGCTGGGTGGAGCCCCACCAGACCGGGTGGCACAGCAGGCCCTCAGCAGGCGCTGAGCCCAGGTGAGGTAAGGACACCAGTGCTGGGGCTCTGGGATGAAGGGGATGGTGAAGACAGGAGGCCAGGCCTGAGATGTAGTCCCTCCTTCTACACTGAGGAAGGTGGCTCAGGCAGCTCCTGAGTGTGCTGTTGGTGACAGGGAGATGGAGGTGGCACTAGGCCCGTGGGGGAGTCAGGGGAGAAGAACTTGGCAGAACTAGGAAGAGTGCAGCCTCAATCCTGAGACGACATGAGAAGGTGGACAGAGGGACTTGAAGCTGGGAGGGGCCGGGGGTGTGTGGGCTTGGGTTGGGCTTGGGAGTGCTGGGAAAGAGAAGAGGACGCTGTTCTGCGGGGCGTGGACCCAGCGGGGGGGGGGGACAGGGAGGCTCAGTGTGGCCTGGAGCAGAGCTGCTGGGGTGAGCCCTCAGAGATGAAGGGACACACTGGGTAGGGACACACTGCCTCCTGTTTCTCAGCAAACCTTCTGGGAAGTCAAAGGGACACCTGGGGCCCAGGTGCTGTAATGGTCCTGGCCAGCATTCCTGGCCAGCTGACCATGATTTTGCCTGCAGCTCAGACACTGCAGTAGAGAGAGCAAGGGGCACGCAGGTTAGATTAATACCCTGACGCCTCTCCACGGGGACACACGGAGGTGGCTGTGGTAGCTTTGCAGACACCTCTCTGGGGGTCCTAGTTTGGGTTTAAATGCTGAAGGGGCCAAAAAGCCACAGAGCCAGCAAGCCACATCACAGACAGCCCCTCTCCAGCACTGTCCACRCAGGGCAGTAGGGGGCTCTGCAAAGCTCAGGTGACATGATGGCAGCGGGAACCCCTAGCTCTGCAGCTCCAGTGACAGGCTCTGGTGCAGACGGGAGGTGGGCCTGCCCTCCTGGCTCTGCACCCTCCTTGCCGGGTGGTGCTGTGCCTTCCTGGGCAGGTCTGTGGCGCGTTGCTGTGACAGTGTCACGCTGGTCTTGCACGCACTCCTGAGGGCAGCTTCAGCACCGCCTGCCCTGCCACTCCACACCTGCTTGGGGGCCGACGGGCTGACACGGCCAGCACCAGCGACTCAGCAGCAACAGGACAAACGGCTTCTCAGCCCAGGGGCCACACACACGGCCCACCTCTCAGCCTGCCTTGGGGGACTGAGGCCACGGCTCAGTGCTACTCCAGGCCGGGCATCCGCTGGGACTAGGAAGGTGAGTCTGCAAGGGGAGAAGGGGCTGTGAGCAGAGGAGCCCTCAGACGGAGAGAGCAGCTCGACCTGCCCTGCCTAAGTGGCATCGGAGCCCAGGTCTGCGGCAACTAAGGGCCAAAGACACACAGCTCTGGCGATGCCAGGCCGACAGCCCCATAGTTCAGGCCGAACAGCCAATGTGCAGTCCGTATCCCACGTGGGCTACGGAGCAGGGTCACTTGGGTGAACTGGGCTGGCACGAACAAATCACAGACTCAGAAAACACCTTTTCTGGGGGCGTTTCAGGACAGCTCCTCCACCCCAGCTGTAAGCTCCCACAGGGGCAAGGGAAAACCAAGGGAGCAGGCGAGAGCGCGAGCACRCCCAGAACCCTGGTTTGTACTGAGGAGAACATTCCATCCAAAAAAGGAAAAAGATAGTATTACAGAGGAACGAGAGGCAGCCCACTGCCACCGGGAAACCCCACTCCCAGAGCTCCACCCCACTGCCCAGTGAAGGCGAGGTCCACCTGCCTTCACAAAGAGCAGACACCAGTTTCACCCTCCATTGCTCAAGGCTAGGGGTACGGGCTTAGCTCCTAGGTGGCAGCTCCTGACACCAATGGATGCACCTGTTTCTAGAATTAAAATATGGTTTTTGGACTTGAAATACACAGAGGCCTGGGTAAGAACTAATTCTGCTGGTCTCCAATTCTCCTGTTTCTACTTTGTTCCCGGCCGAACTCAGGCAGCAGGAAGAGGTTCCTAGAAAGGGAAGCCCAGGGGGACAACTTCATGGCCTTAAACCACCCCAAGCGTTTCTTCTCCTCTCACTTGTCCCAATGAGAGAGGAAATTCCAAGCATTAAGGGTACATGTAGCATGCAAAGTGGCTGCCAAGTCTGATCATTAAAATTTCATCTAATACATTTTAACTCACTGGACTTTTTTGACAATAAATTCTGCGACTAAAATTGGTAGGCCCAAGAAGATGTAAGAGCCACAGGAGGGCTGCACGCTCCTCCTCACCCTCCTTCTGAGAAAAGTAGAGGCCTGATGGGGTCAAGGGCTGCAAAGACGCAGGACTGTGGGCAAGCATGGGCCTCAGAAAGCAGACACAGTGACCCTGAAGCTCTGCCCCGAGGGAGCAGGCTGAGGCCTAGGACCCACCTGGCAAGACCCACTTCCCACATGGGCTGTCTCCACAGCCACAGCCCGGCCTCAAAGGCAGGACAGCAGGTGCGGACACACTGGAGAGTGGCAGAGAGTGGCTGGRTGAGGCTTGCACGCCCCACGGGATGAGACCTGCTAGGAAGCTGTGTACCTTTTCTGGGGCATGTGTGTGGGAAACCAGAATACTTCTTCCCATAAAGAGGCTCAACAGGAAGGACTGTGGCTGATGCTTTACAGACAGCCAATGGCTCTGGAGTATAGAGGCCAGGGCTCTCCTTGCCTCTGGCTTGTGCTATTTCTGGAAGATTTAAGAGATGCCATCCAGGTATAGCACTTCCAAGCAGAAGAGATGATAGCCCCAGTGCCATGTCATCCCTGAAAAGCCATAATGAGCCCACACGCTCACCTGTGGTGGGCATGGCGGCTGGTGGTGAGGCCTCCGTGTCAGGCCACTTCTGCTCTGTCCATCTAAGATGCCCACAGAACTTTCTCAACGGAGCCTTCTCTCCCTTTTGTACAGTGCTCGGGATGGAACCCAGGGCCTTGTACGTGCAAGGCAAGTGTTCTGCCACTGAACTATACCCCCCTACAGCAGCATTCTTAGCTAAACAGAAATCCTAGAACTTTCCAAACCAATTTCCTGGCCGAGTGAAAGGTGCTCTGCCTGGGTTAGCTCCTGAACTCCTTCCGTTTCACACTGCCGGCTGAACCGAGCCAGCGCTCCCCGGAAACACCCACTCCAAGTTACACCCTCCAGGCCTGACTTCCTGCAGCTGCTCCATGTGCAGCCCCTCTGCCACCACCATGCAGCTCACTTCACTCTCAAGGTCTGGCTCCCAAAGCCACACTCAGCATGATCCAAACACAAGAGTGTAAACTAGGCCACCACAGGGTTCTCCCTGACCCAGCATCCCAACCTTCCCCAGACCTTGCCAGAATAAAGACATTCCAGCTCCCCGGAGTCTGGGGGTCAGTGCATCTCCTCCTTCTCTTCCCAACCTTCCTTTTTTTTTTGGGGGGGGGGTACAGGGATTGACCCAGGGGAGCTTAACCACGGAGCCACATCCCCAGCCCTTTTTATGTTTTATTCTGAGTCAGGGTCTGGCCTCGAACTTGCCATCCTCCTGCCTCTTCAGGAGTAGCTGGATTACAGGAGTGCGCCCTGTGCCTGGCCCCCTCTCAACTTTAACAGGCATACCCACCGGCTTGCTAAGATGCCTACCCCTAACATCAACAAGGATGGAGAAATCAATTCCGAAACATTAGGGAAAAATCAACTTCAAAACAAAACTTTAAAAACTTTTTGCCCCGAGGCAAATACATCCTCACTTCCACACACAACGGCTAAGGGAAAGGATGTGGGGAACAGGAACTCTGGCCATGTGGTTTTGGAGTTCAATTCTGTAGAGGAAGCCCTTCAGCTTCTAGTTGTCAATCCTGGAGGACCACTGCCAAATATCTGCGGCCAAGATCAAGGCCTCCAGAGGGACTAAATCCACAGCCCCTGCTCCCAGTGAGCCAACGAGGCTGCTGCCTCCAGCTGACCTGCACAAGTGGCACCTGGGCCAACAGTCCCAGCTCAGACCTGCTACTTCTGGAAAGRCCCAGCTGCTGGTCCTCCTGCTCCCTTCTCCTGCCTATAAAAAGGCATCTATTTCTTCCTCTGCACAGGGAGATGCCAGAAGGGGTCCATCTGGGCACTGCCTTCATTTATTGTCCCAGCAGAGCAGCCAGCACAAAGAGCTGGCCCACACTGCCTGGCAGCCAAGCAGAGCCCAGCATGGGCTGAATCTTGGCCTTTGAATTATAAAAAGGCAAGAGGCAGGTGGCGCTGGGGCAGCGCCTCAGCCTGAAGCTCACGGTGAAACACGACCACTGAGCTGGCTGAGCACACTCAGAGCTCACAAGCAAATAGGCTTAATCACTGTCACCCTTCTAGAAAATGATCGCCCTCTCCTAGAAACAAAGCCCCTAAGTCCCTTACCCTGTGACTCAGAAAAGCCCCAAACAGTGCTCAGACCAGATCAAAGTCACTGTGCCAGCTGTGAACAGCCACTTGGGCATCTGATACAGAGGACATGGAGGATCAGCAGCAGACTCTCAAAGGACACTTTCAAAAATAAGCTGCTGTCGATGTTTCTGCCCTGGCCATTGAGTTACAGGAAGCTGCTGCAGTGGGGCTTGACAGCTGCCAAGTTCCTCTCCCCCCGACAGACTAGCAATGGCTGGCAGACACTGCGCTTCAAAYCTAAGAGCGCCTGGACGTGCACAATCACGGCCTTCTGCTGAAGGTGGAGGGCACCTCTGGAGCAGCAGGATGCCGAGAGCAGCAGGCCCCTCCACGGTGCCACTTTCAGGTAGGCACAGGGGGCAGGGCCGGGGAGAGGGAGGAAGGGGGGTGGCTTACACAGATTCCATTTCCAAGTCATCTTCCTCCTGAGACAGCTGTAGGTAGGGGTTATCTGAAGCCGGACGGAACTTATACCCCGTCAGAACGAAGAACACCAATGTGGCCATTTCATCCAGGAGCTGCAGATTTAAAAACCACCCCAAAATAAAGGGATCAGCAACACTATCCTTCAACACGACCCACATATCCGCACAGTTCACTCCTTGCTAACTGCTCACTCAAGGCCTCGGTTCAAGGCCACGTTCATGGCCCCTGAGCACTCCCTAGATCTAAAGCCTAAGCCAGGAGCAGTCTGCCCCTAGGATCAGCGCCTCGTGCCTTGGGCACATTAGACCAGCCCTCTACTCCACTGAGCTCCGTTCCCAACTCCTTCAATGGTACTTTTTTTTTGGCGSGGGGGGGGGGGGGGGGGACTGGGAATTGAACTCAGGGGTGCTCTACCACTGAGGTACACCCCGAGCCCTTTCTGGTTTTTGAAACAGGGTCTGAGTTGCTGGGGCTGGCCTGGAACTTGTGATCTTCCTACCTCACTCAGCCTCCTAAACTGCTGGGATTACAGGCGTGTGACACCACATCTGGCTTCACTGGTACTTTTTTGTACCATGGATTGAAACCAGGTTGCTTAACCACATCCCCAGATCTTTTTATTTTTTATGTTGAGACAGGCTCTTGCCAAGTTGCTTAGGGCCTCACTAAGTTGTGATCCTCCTGCCATAGCCTCCAGAGCCACTAGGATGACAGGTATGCATCCCCATGCCCGGCTCACTAGTACCTCTTAAAAGTTCAATTTATACCCAAATTTTCCAACACTGGTGCCTAATGTACCAAGTCAATTCTTCAAGAAAAAAGGATAGCTAAACCATCTGGTTGACTCTGGCAGTTAAACAGTTCTAGGGCTGGGGTCACAGCTCAGTTGGTAAGGTGCTAGTCTCGAATGCACAAGGCCCTGGGTTCAATCCCCAGCACCACAAAACAACAAAACAACAAAAACGGTCCTAGGATTTACAAAGATATTGGATGATTCAAATAATAATAATATTAGGGCAAAGAAGGAAGGAGGGCTGAATTCTAAACTGTTCTAGGCCTGATAGCTAGGAAAGACCCCATCCCATCCAAGCTTTAATTACAGAGGGCAATACTGACTCTGCCTGAGGCTTTTCTCTAAAGAGTTTTAAAATTGAAAACTAAAATCAATAATGCAATTATGCCAGATTTCTCATGTAATCTAGCAGCTCTCCAGAGCAAATAGATAATAATTTTTTTTTTTTTTTTTTTTTTACAGAGCAGGATTATTCAAGGGTGAAGAATAGAAACAGAATTCTTACAGGGGGGAAAGGGGGGACCCTGATAAAGGTAACTCCAAATAGATAATCATCATCATCATCTTTTTTTTTTTTTTTTTGGTTCTAGGGATTGAACCCAAGGGCGCTTAACCACTGAGCCACATCCTCAGGCCCTTAAAAAAAAAAAAAAAAAAAAAAATATATATATATATATATATATATATATATATATAGTTGTAGATAAACAAATACCTTTATTTTGTTTATTTATTTTTATGTGGTCCCGAGGATTGAACCCAGTGCCTCATGTGTGAGGCAAACACTCAACTACTGAGCCACAACCCAAGTCCCCCAGCCCATTGTTTTTTTTTGTTTGTTTTTTGAGACAGAGTCTCACTAAGTTACTGAGGCAGACTGTGAACTTGCAAATTTCCTGCCTCAGCCTCCCAAACTGCTGGGGTCACAGGTCCCAAATAGGTAATCTTAACTGTCGCTGGAAGAGATGGCAGGTTTTAGGGGCCATTCCCATGTGAATAAGAAACAACCTTAAGTTACATCCCCGGACTTTATCCTCAGACATGAACTCTGCACCGTCCCAAGAGCAGTATACCTGGTAGAGCCACTTCCACTGGAATGGAACAGCAAGTTTAAGGAGAAATGCAATGATCCTGGTGAAGTATATGTAACACACAATCTGTATGAAGAGGAAGGAAACAAAACACAAAATCAACAGAGAAGTTATAACCATTTTCTTCTAATAAATTGCTTTCACAAACTCACTACAAAACAGAAAACAGAACCACCCAAAGACTTGCGTTTCTTGGAGTGTTAACTCATAAGTACAGCAGAGAGAGATGGCCACTCTGTTGGTTACACTGGGAAGGAACTCCTCACTGTCTCTAGGTGGCCAAGACGATGACCACAGCCACTGAGGGAGGACAGCACACTTGGGTACATCTGCTCTTAGACCCTCCTCACCTCTCCAAACCTCATTTCAATCTCCCAGGGGCAGCCTTTTTATTCCCAGGCTTGGAGAGATAATTATCAGTAGTAGCAGCCAACTACAGCCCACAGGGAGAGGCTGACTCCTGGCCTCTCTGGCTGCACTGCTGTAAAGGTCCAGGGCCACAGTCAGGACGTATCCACACCTGTCCTCATGGGGAGGCCTCCACTTCACTGCAGTAATGAGGGCTCAGTTGCTGCCCAGGCTGCTCATGGGACCAGGCTCACGGTGGCCAGGCTTGCAGGCAGGCCAGGCATGCTAGGGTTTCGGGCACACAGGCCCAGTACCCTTGCCTGGCCATTGAGAATCACTGCTCATGGCCACCTCCTGTGTCAGGAGAGGCTCTGTGGTGACTCCTGTGCCTCTTCTGGTGGAGGACAAGGCCCTTGCAAAAAGTCACCTACCCCTGCTTCTCTAATGAAATCGTTAATGTTCGCCCATATACAAGAATCTTCCAGTGACAGTCGAGGCCAAAACCATGACAAAAGACTTGGCAACTTTCTTTAAGGAGCCACAGAGCAAACTCCAGCAGACCTGCACCTTACGGACACCAAGAAACCACGACCCTAAGAACTCAGTGGTTCTGACTTGGTGGCTGTGCTTAGCTTACAGGGATCTCTCTGCACACCYGTCACTGTCCCCATTCTTAAGTTTTACAAAAACCGCCTCCATCTCTGTTCTTAAGGGAAATATCACCATTAGCATAACATGAAACTAGTTTCCTGCAGAAAACTTTGAGAGGGAGGTTCTCTAAATCTTACGAGAAAACATAAAGCCTGCAGAAGGGCACAGGGTGCAGCCCTCGTTTTCTTAATGAACAGCAACACCCCAGGGAACGGCTTGGAGGGGCACACGCCAGGACTGCTATGGAGAGCCACCACCTCACCGTGGCAGCAGCCCTGGACAGGGTCAGCAGGCTCCACAGGGCTGTGCTGGGTTTCTAGAATCCTGGCATTTATATTTTATATCAATGTATTATTTAACCACTTAAAGTTAAATATAAGAAGTAGTAACCCGGATATTTAGTTTCCGTTTCGGGAGGTACAGTCTGTTATGAAGCAATCCGAGCAGATCCAGGGCTGCCACTCCTGGGCGTCCATCCCGCTTCCCGAATTGGCTCTGCCCCCTGAACTGATCTAACTGAGAGACTCAGGGTCTTTTTTGTTTTTTACTCACCAGGACGTAGTAATGTCTGAAAAGCTTCAGCTTTGCTAAGTTAATGGCAGCTAGGGACAAGAACAACATGAAGAGTTCATTAGCTTCGCTTCTTGCCTGTCTGCGCGCTCGATCGTTCATTCACTCTGAGGCAAGACCCTACCAGCTGAGCCAGCCCCTGAGCAGCTGGGACTCTGGGGGCACACCATTCTTGGGACCCCTGTCCTGTTCATGTGCCCCCTCAGTCAAGAGGGGTTGAGACACACCTCACTTCTGGCAAGGAGGCAGATGGGAGACTCCGTCCACGCCAGGGCCTGGTGAAGCTGCTCTCACAGGCCACCCAGCTGCAGCTGCTCTGAGGGCAGCTGCGTACTGCACAGGGGCACCAAGGAAATCACAGATGCCCACCTGAGGGCCAGCGCTAATCCCCTCAGCTCTGCCACTGTACCCAGGGAGATGCTCTCTCCACTAGGACCCACTGGGTTGGCCCCAGAGTGACAGCTGGGGAGCCGTCCACCAGCCAAGGGTGCAAATTCAATTAACCCTCAGACGCACTTGGCAAATTTGGCTTCAGTTTCCGTTAAGTGCCCTGTAATAATAAGCCCTTTAAGTACAACCTCCTTGGCTATCTCCTGCCTTCTCTAGAGTGTTCAAGGTCAGCGAGCCAGGACTTCCTGCCACTGCTGGTGGCTATGAAATATTGATGACCACGGAGGGTAGCCTGGCTCCCTCCCCGATTAGCAATCCTTTCATTCATCATAAACCTCCCGCAGGAGGCAAATTAATTCTGCTTAATAACATTCAATTACTGATTCAGTTTAAGAATGAGTCTGTGGGTGGCAAAGGTTCAAATTTCCTCTTCCTCTCTCCTCTGGCTCATGATTAGTGGGGGACAATCAAGTTTAGGATTCCAAAAGAAATTCTGGGAATGCCAAGTTATCGTCAAGGTGATTATCCACAGGAGCCTCCTCCTGGAAACCAAAGAGGGCTGGCAGGGCAAGTCTTCCCAGGGGACTCTTCCCACAGCTGAGAGGACAGGACCCTCACATACAGAGCTGCAGTGGCCTCTGCACACAGGTGGCCTCTTGAGGAAGGGGATCACCAAACGCTTGCTTCTCTGGCCACCTCTCTGGTGTTTTGCTACTTTATGTATTTTTTGTGGTGATAGGATGGAACCCAGGGCCTTGTGCACAGGAGGCAGGAGTTCTACCACAGAGCCCCATGCCCAGCCCCACTGTCATGTTATTTTTAAAAAATGAAATCTCTCTGCCTCTCATCCTTTTCTTTTCTAAATTTATTTGTTCTCTTAGTTACACATGACAGTAGAATGCATCCTGACATGTCACCTGTACATGGGGTCTGACTTCTTGTAGTTGTTAGCCTTTTCTTTTGAGCCCTGATTGAGCTAGACCCTGGGACACTAGGCATGCCCCTGGGAGAGGGACACTAAAGCCTGAGCTGGACACAGGGTTGGGAACAGGCCAGGGTTGTAAAAGGCTTCCCAGAGGACAGGATGCCATAGACTTCGCCATCTCTAGGAGCTCACGGCTCCACTGTGCCCACACCACTCTGCCCAGCGAGCCCCCGCTGGAGGGAGGGAGCCGAGCCCCTGCACAGGCTGGTACTTCTTGAACACGAACACTGAGTCCTCTCCCTAGGGCTGACTGAAAAACCCAGCATCAACCATTAGATTGTTTAAGTCACACACGCGCTTTCCGTCTCTTCTGAGTGCTGCTGCTGAGTGAGTCCTGGCAGGACACTGCTGCTGGCTTCCCTGAGAACCATCAGTCAGAGGCGTCCCAGCGTCAAGCGGGGGCAGGGATGAGCAGGATGGAGGGAGGACTCCCAGGGAGCTCGGGAAGGGAGGGCAGCTCAGCTCTACTGCACCTTGGGGAGGCCAGGAAACTCAGGGCAAGGAGCAAAGCCCAACACCAAACTGGGCCATCCTCCCTGTGGGTCCAGAGGGCCCAGAGTTTTTAGCCATGCGGCTCCACATCACATCACAGTTCAGAACTGTCATGAGAAAAGACGGAGGAAGCCAGGAGGAAGAGACTGACCCCGTGAGACCTGGAGTCTGTGGCAGCACCTGTGACAGGCAGGGGTCTCCATGGGTGTGGAGCGATCAAGGTGCGGGCAGCACAGCGGACAACCCCTCGGCCCTCCAGGAAGAAGAATGCCAGAGGTGGGGCCACAGGGAAGGAAGCAGGGGCTGATGGGAGAGCAGGCCCTGCAGGTCTCCATGGGTGGGAGGTGGGGGCTGGGGGGACGAGAGCAGAGGGCAACATGCTGGCTGGCCTCTCCCGGGCATCGTGTGCCACCACATCACACTCTCCAAGCTGAGCAGACCCTGAAGGTAGGCAGGTCCGACCAGCTGCACGAGTGAGCCCGCACCCTCACCCCCACATGCCAGAGAAAAGCGTCACCACAGCAGACTCCATGCCATGTAGGATGCACGAGGGCTGACAGACGGGCCCTGGAGCCAAGGAGTATCACCTCTAAGACACACAGCCACATACGTTTCCCAAAACCCACGAGTCGTGTTGATGTCATTTCCAGTCACCTGCAAGACGTTTGCTAGGACTGCTGCTGGCAGGGACCAGGCTTCCAAGGCCCCCACTGGTGTCCTAGTCATGGTCCAAGCAGTGAAACTTTTCCCCCTGTGCGGGGGACGGAGCCCAGGGCCTGGGGCATGCTCAGCAGGCACTCTACCGCTGAGCTCCATCCTTGCCTCTGCGAGGTGCTAAGAAACAGGACAGAAGAGTGGTCCGAAGCACAAGCTCTGTGAATCCAAGCACCTGGAGTTCAGACTCCAACTCTATTGCTTGCTGGCTGTTATGATCTCAGGTAAGTCACCTAACCTCTCTGAGCCTCTGTTGCTTCATCTCTTAGGCCAGAATACCAACACCTACCCTTAAATGTTTTGGACAAATACCCAGACAGTATGTCAAAAGCCAATRGCTCACAATAAGCTACCCGAACTCGATGTTACAGTATTAGAACCTGTTAGGATTATATGGATTAACCCAGCACCAACAGTGGCAAATACTGTGTCCCTGGGCTGCCACCCAGTGAGTCAGGAGGCTGAGCAGGACGGTCAGCTCAGGGCGAAGCCTCACTAACACTGTGCAAAGAGCAACCAAGCAGCAGGCCTCCCTTTGCTTTTCTCCCAAAGACCTTCCCGGAGCCAAGGAGGCTGATAGCTGGCTGCTGTGCGGGCCTCAGGGGAGCTGGGCTCCCTTGGGTGAAGGCTCTCGAGGCTGGCTGGCTATTTCTGACCCTGCCACTGAGGAGCAGCAAATATGGTCAAAGAATGAGCACGGGGAGAGGAAACGCGTCCCAGATGGAGCCAGGAGACCTGCACCCTGGCACCGGCACTGCTGTAACTCCATGCCTGCCCCAGGGCCGCACCGCCTTCTCCAGGCCCTTGTTTGGAGGAGGATGTACTCGGCGGTCAGCACTTCTTCATGGCAATGGCTCACCATGAGCAGTCCCCTGGGGGGGGCTTGGGTTTTTTTTTTAATATTTATTTTTTAATTTTTGGTGGACACAACATCTTTATTTTATTTTTATGTGGTGCTGAGGATCGAACCCAGCGCCCCACACATGCCAGGCGAGTGCGCTACCACTTGAGCCACATCCCCAGCCCTGTTTTTAACTTTTTTAATGTATATTCATTTACAACAATTTTTGTGTCAATTTTATTGAGGTACAATTAACATACAGTAAGATTTGCCAGTTTCGTACGTGTGCATATGGTGCTGGGGATTGAACCTAGGACCTCGTGCATGCGCGGCAAGAGCTCTACCAACCAAGCTGTATTCCCAACCCCGGGGGCTGGTTTTTGATCAGCTGCTCTGCCTGCCCCCATTCTTAGAGTGGTGGAGGGGGGTGCTGCGCAGACCTGGAAACCCCTGCAGCCAGAGCAGGGAGCAGCTCCGGGAGCCTCTCCAGGGCCTGAGGCCTGCAGATTCCACTTCCTCTAGCTCTCAGGAAAATGGCCATGATTCCCAAGCTTCCTGCAGACGGAACAGAACAAGTGCCTACTACAGCAGGCAGGGCCACCGCCCTGGCTCAACCCTCCCCAACCCAGCAGCAAAGGAGCCCACACACCACCCGCGGGAGGTGCTGCCCCCACCTAGACTGTCGCCTTCCCTCTTTCAGTCACAGGGTGACTAGGCAGATTGCCCCTCCCCCCAGCTGGCTTCCCTGGGAGGCCCTGGAACTGTGATGATGGCAGAAACAGCAGCACTGGTGTGGCTATTTACTAGCAATCACCACAAGCCACGTGCCCAGTGGGTATCTGAGCTTCATCTCACGATAGCCTCTATGAGGGGGCAGCCAGCCTGGCAAAGGTTAGTACGTTATCGAAGTCACACAGTCCACCTGGAGAAGCCAGTATCCAAACTTGAGTGCACCCCCTCCAAGGACCAAGCTCTTAACACTGCACTTCACACTCAGAGGCCATGCTGGCTTCAGGGATCTGCAGCTAGTCAAGGTGCCTGCCATGCCCAGGAGCTGCCAGCAGTCTGCTCTGAGGCCTTAACACCCAGCGATTTATGGACCACACAAAAGGCAAGGCCCACAACAGCCTCTGAATGGGTGGAAAACTAGCCAGACAATCCTTGCCTAGGTGTAAAGAAAGCCCCAAGGCTTAACACACAGCCCCCCAGTGGCACATGTCTGAGATTCCAGCAACTCAGGAAGCTGAGAAGGGGGGCTGCAAGCGCTGGGCAGCCTCAGCAACGCAGAGGCCCTGTCCAGAAATAAAAACACAAAGGGCGGGGGCGGCTCAGTGGTAGAGCACCCCTAGGTTCAATCCCCAGGAAGAAAGAAAGAAATCCCACCTATCCCTCCTCCCTTTCCCACTTCTTTCCTGCTGTGCTTCAGAGGGAACTGTGAGTCAAACAAAAAATCATAAAACATGGATAATGGCAAAGTCAGGATGGCACTGGAGCCACTGGGACTCTCTGGTGGCAGCAGCTCAGATCTGCCTAAGCTCTGGCTCAAGAGAACCCTGCTGGGGGCTGGAGAAGCTATGCCATGCGAGGCCACGCCTGGCCTGAAAGCTGGA